GCGAATTTATTAGAAACTTGTCTGTACTATAGCAGTGTTTAATAATTAATAATAGAAGTTCTAAAATGTACCTGACCTAAATTTTTACAAAAATATTGATGTGTACTACGACCTGAAGGGGGATGTTTTTAGTGTTCTGCTAGCTTTTACTTGCTCAGTATAACCTATCAACGACAGAAGGCATGTAGTAGATTGTGTGCAACAGATTTTTCAAGCAAAGTTTTGATTATGTTAATAATTAGAGGCCTTAGAAATTCATGTACATCAAATATGATACAGTAGGTTTAATAGGGTTAAATAAATGTCTGTAGTGTTTGCTAATGCTTGTAGTATGTTGGATTAGGGATTTGAATAAGCCTATAACCCTTAGTATGAAAAATATCTTATGTCTATGATAAATCATGTGTCTTATCAAGGAGAGGTGTGCTATTGTCTTTCTAAACAATCAGACTTAGATTTTTACATGGTGGACAATGAAACCAAAAAAAACATTGAATGATATCTTCATCTCTCAAGACTAAAATATTATAGTCACAGCCACCTAGCAACCAGTCAGAACACCTTAGGAACCACATAACAGGACTGTGCTGGACTTTCCACTGTACTTATGCCCCTTTGTTGAATATATATGCTTCTCTCTGCCCAGATATTACAACTGCGTGCCTTTCGCTGGCTGCATCATGGTCGGACCCTCCAGCACGTGTCACTCACGAGTGAAGACCTTTGAGGAACTTCCTCTGGAAATGACATCACACAAGACACATCATGTACGACTAAGACCTCCAATATATGTATCGTTTTTATAAGCTGAAGAATGTTAACATGTATATTGTCTCATACATCTTTGTGTCCCTTTAGGACAGCCAGACAGACAGTGGGATGGTTTTGGCATCAGATGAGCTCGAGAGGTTTGAACACAAGCACAGAGGGGCCATGTTGAAAACGTAGGTGAAACTGAAGATTATGCACACCATTTATCATTAGAAAAATGACTATGGCTATGGCTCACTTCATTTATAATGGTTTAGTTTTCATACTCTGGAGTTGCATTAAGCATTGTGTAAACTCTGTAGTCCATCGGAGGGCCGCAGCACAGAACGCCTCATCAGTTCTCCGTCCATGAGCAGCAATGGCAGCAGCAGCACACTGCGCCCACCCTTCTTCAGCCAGCTCTCGGGCCAAACCTTCTACAACAACGAGTACGGCCAGCTGTCGGAGGAGGGCGTCAGCGACTTCTTCTCCTCGTCGGATCAGGCCATATACCAGGGAGCCTGCCCGGCAACCTCCAACCTGTAACAGCACTGATTGGCCAATCGTAACCAGGCCCCGCCCCCTCACAACTAACTGAGCTGAAGTCTAGCTTTGTAAAGTTCTCTTAGCAGCCACTGGGTGGCACCATTATGTCCATTTCAAACCAAAAAAGTATTTTATCGCCTTAGTTACATATATCTTTATATAAAGATTAAACTTCTTTGTATTTGTACAAAAAAAGAGAGAAAAGAACCAGAATGGAGAAAAAATAAATAAATGAATATATCATCTTTTGATTGATTTTTTTTGTTTAAGTGACATCTCTTACCAAAAAGTAGTATACTTCAAGTTTATTTTAGTAAGTATACTTAAGTAAAGTTCAAGTATATTTTTAAGTATACTTTATGTAGTAAGTATACAAATATCAGTGTACTAGTAGTATACTTGTAAGTGTACTATTTCAATACTCCTTGGGACTAAATTGGCCCACTTTCTAGTATATAAAAGTATACTTTTAAGTATAACAGTAGTAAACTTTGGGTACACAACTAGTTTAGTTTGTACTGCAACTATACTAAAAGTGAACTTATAGGTATACTGATAGTTTACTAATTAAATACTTGTAGTAGCATTTTTAGTACACTTTGAAGTATAGTCTCAGTAAGCTACTAGTTTAGTAGTTTTATACTGCAAGTATACTCTGTAACGAATCAGCTCATGGGTAATATTTATAATTAATCATAACTAGTTATAATTAATTATGAATATTTAGATCCGCTGTAGATATTTAGCTGACCTCTCAGGGTCAACTGTCTTGTCAATTCTAAGAACGTTAATTTCCTGGTTAAGGGAAATAACTTTCTTACTGTACGTACCTACAAAAGCTTGTAGCATAAATCTGCATGATTAAGTGACTCCAGTTATGAGCAAAACACTGAACAACGTCAAGTGTGATACAAGTAAGACTTTATTAACTACATAAACACTTAAACTAGTCCAACAGACTACATAAACTGGTCTAACATACACATACACACACACACACACACACACAACATATATTACATGTAATATTGTTACACAATTTAATTACAAAATAAATGTAACTGAAATCAGAGGAAAAAAATGTGTAATTAAATTACATTTATTTATGTAAATGTTAATGATTACAAAGGGGGTTACATCTGAATATTTTCTGTAAAATATGAATTGGATTCAGAATGATAATCAAAACGTAGATAAAGTCGATCAACACCCCAAAGCTTGACAGTTATTATTACCTCTTCATTGGTCGACATTTTATTCCATAATGTTACATAGTTTTGATACTGTTTTATGTCTGATGATCGTGTTAGAATACATGTGGAAGGATCTGTTGTTTCGGTTTCTTCTTCACTTGTGTTTTTTGGAAATTCTGTACAGAAGATGTGTACTAGCGCCCTCTACAGTATAACAATGAAAACGCGGATTCTAGGAGCACAATTATAGCAAAAATATATTTAGACTTTTTCTGAGTATAAGTCAAGTATACTTAAATGTCATTTTAAGTATATTTCTGAGAAGTACATAAAGCCCATTTCTGAGAAGTACATAAAAAGTAGACTAAAAGTATACTTTCCTATTTTTAGTTTAAAAGAAGTATACTAATAGCACACTTGAATAAACTTCTTTTTCGTAAGGGTAGACAGTCAGCTAACATGAGGGATGAAACTCCAATAATGACTAAAGGTGTAACTTTCCTGGGTTTAATTGAAATTTCCTTTTTATATTGTAAAACTGAAAATACAGAACAAAACAGACATATCAGTATACAAATACACTAATAAAAAGCTAAACACAAAACATAAACTACTGGCAGGTAATTTATACATTTCTGAAAGCAACAATGACACTTTCTTAATATGAAAACAATATCTTTCAGTCACTTACAGACAAATAGTGTCCCAGGAACAACGTAAAGAGAAAATTTAGATGCACCATCTATCAAGCCGTGTTCTCTGGTTACTCCTTGCTTTTAACTAAATAAAATGGCTGAACAGCCACTAGATGGCAGTGCTACTCAAACAATAACTTCAAAATAAAAGTCCTGATAGTCAAAGAAGGCAGCACAGCTATTGTCTGTGTGAGTTGTTGATAAGTGTTACCTCCTGTGTTTCTTGTGACCCTCTCTTGGTTCTGTCATGTATTTTGGACATATATCTCTGTGGATTATCATTAAAGAATCTTAAACTGCATTTGGACCCGCTGCCTGTTGCCTACTTATTCTCATTCGTAAAACAAAACAACTCACCACAACAAGGGATCCATCCGTTTTCATCATGCGTCCACATCAAGGTACTCGTTGTGACCCTTTAAAGAAACTTTGTTCCATTTATCAATAGGGGACGTAATATTGAGTCTTATGTGGAGGAGTTTCTTTCGTATTGCTACCTTGTACCTGGCAACGATGCGTTGCTGAGGGACTGTTTTTGGAGTGGGCTTGACCTGGATATCAGCCTCAACTTGCCTGATGAGGATCCAGGTTGGACCCTGGCGCAATACATTGACTTTGTTTTATTGTTTTGTGGATCTGAGTTCACTGTGGGGGAAGTTTTTTTGGGGGGGACAGTAGGCCGTGGGCTCCAGTGGCCACGGAGTCCGGTCGACCAGGATTGCCACCATGCCACACACTGATGGTCGCAAGTCCAGTGTTCGTCACCACTCCCATGCCACAGCCAGAGCCAATTCCCAAGATGGCTGCCAGGCTCCAGCCAGAGCCAGCTCCCAAGATGGAAACCATGCCAGAGTTATCACCCAAGATAGCCGCCAGGCCACAGCCAGAGCCACCACCTGCCAGAGCTGCTTCACCTGCCACCTCATTGGCCAGAGTTGCCGCTTACCCTGTCTGGTTTGCCACACCAGAGCCTCCAGCCGTTATGAAAGCCATGCTAAAGTCTACAGCCACCATGGACGAGTCAAGTCCAGGCCGAGAATCCATTCCGGAACCAAGTTCAGTTCAAGAATCCGTTCCGGAGCCAAACACAGTTCAAGTCTCTGGTCCTAAGCTAAGTCCAGTTAAAGAATCCGTTCTGGAGTCAAGTCCAGTTTAGGTGTTTGGTCCTGAGTCAAGTCCAGTCCAAGAATCTGTTCTGGAGCCAAGTCCAGTTCAAGTTTCTGGTCGTGAGTCAAGTCCAGGCCGAGAATCCATTCCGGAACTAAGTCCAGTTCAAGTCTCTGGTCCTAAGGCAAGTCCAGTCCAGTCCTCTGTACCACCGCCCTCCTGGACTTTGATAGTGTAGGACGTCTGGAATCCGCCCTTAGAGGGGGGGGGGCTATGTCACGCCCGGTTGCCTGCACCACTGTGAGGCACTAGAGGGCGTTTCTGTGTTGTCTTGTGTTCCTGCCTGTTGTTCTGGTCATGGACTCCATTTCCCATCATGCCGTGTTTTCATTAGTGTCTACCTGGTTCAGCTGTGTTCCATTTCCTGTTTGGTCCTGTGTTTGTGTATATTAAGCCCCGGTTTGCTATTGTCTGTGTGAGTTGTTAAGTGTTACCTCCTGTGTTTCTTGTGACCCTCTCTTGGTTCCGTCATCTATTTTGGACGTATATCTCTGTGGATTATCATTAAAGGATTGTAAGGATAAAAGAAACTCAGATACTTTGATCTCCTGAGAAACAGACAATACACTGGCATCTTCAAGACACCCCACAGAGGGGTGGTGCAGGAAACGCCTCTCTCGCATATGTATCAGTGCCTTTTCATCTGCTCCCTCCACTGGATTCACTCAGAATGGTCAATAGTATAATGTTCTATAAGATTTACAGTCATGTGTGGTATCATTTGAACAGTATCAGGGCGAGTGGTACAATGGCCTTAATCTTACAAAAGTAGGCTAAAAGATAATACAGATCCTAAGATACTTTGATTACTGTAGAGGGTCATTCCATGCAAATTACCTTTTGTTCCCATTGAGGTGTAA